TATTGTTATGGATTTTATTATTTGTGTTGGGGTGGTTGTAATCCAAATTGAAAATATAATAATGTGATTGACGTTTTGATGTTTGTACAAGTTGTTTGGGATATATTGAATGTGGTCAAGTGCCCACACATTGGCTATTAGCTTTGAAATTGAATGTTTTTAGGAATTGAAAAAGTGATATTTGGTAACCAAATGATTTTTTGTGAATTAAACTATCAAATATAAGAATTTTTATGTGAAATCAAAGCCAATAGCTAAATTTTATTTTTATGTGACATTTGAGTCATTCAAAATTTTTTTTAGGGGTGGGTTGTGTGTGAAGTTATCGGATTTTGAAGTTTATCATTATTCATTCTAGTATGGTTCTTCTCAAGTGCTATATGCCATGAAGGATTGTGCATTGGCCGTGGTACACGACACAAGGTGGGACTTTACTCTCTATGTAATGAGTCGCAGCAAATAGTGCTTCAACCACCACCTATCGTCTCTAAGTCACCAGCCATAGCTTAAGATGCATGTGCCATGGCAGATGTGTTATGTTTTACAATAATGCCCCTGTTTGTATTTTTAAATGTATAACAATAATTTTTCAGCTTTTTACCCTTAAATATATGTTGGACTATTTTACCCTTATACATCATATTTTGATATTATTTGGATTTCTTGGATACAAACTCCTTTCTTTCTGAATCTCATTTGTCCATTAATTATTTGTTAAATGAAATATTTTTTCATTGTGGTAACTTTTATTATTAAGTCTATTTCTTTCTACCACGATACATTCTTTTCTACCATGATAGTCAATGCATAGTTTAGTTTGTTATTTAAGAAAATCTTTTTCTTTCATAACATTCTCTAAAGTTGGTTTCTTTTTTTCTTTCTTTCTTTCTTTCTTTTTTTTTTTTTACCATGGTAGATCCTTTCTTACCATGGTAGTAATTTAAAGGGATTAGTTTCATTTTAGTTACCATGGCACTGTTCTACCATGTTAGAGCTAAGCTTTTACGGATTGTAAATTAATCATGTGTTATTTAATTAAATAAGTGAATGTCATGTGTTGTTTGGATTTTATCATCATGTGTGGAAGTGGTTGCTTCACTTGAAGGCAACTAAGCCATGCTTCGGAAGTGCTTGTGTGGTTTTCTCTCCATGCAACCTTTTTCTAGTGAATGCTCATAGTGGCACCAGTGTCCTTGAGGTGGCATATCTCCTTGCTTGGGATGATAGCACTCTGTGAAGCATCCTTTGATGGCGAGTTCATTTTAGCTTCTTTTTCTGTTGATGCAACAGCTATCATACACTCATATCGCATTTGCTTCAAGATTTATGTTGTCTGCGTACCTCTTTTTAATTTTCTTTGCAAGTTATGTTTGTTTGTATTTTTTTCTCACCCACATGAAACTAGTCATTTAGTTCATTTGGGCTTGTACATGTACTCTTTTTATCTTTAATGATTTTTTTATTTTTATATAAAAAAGATAATACTAATTCACAAATGATTGTCTTTATAGATATATTTAAATTCCTACAGATGCACCACCAAGGACTCTTCTAGAAATACATTAATCTTTTTCTTTGTAATACCATTAACTACCATAGTAATTCGGTCTATGATTTTACCCATTAAATGCTATAGATATTCTTAAAGATACATTAATCTTTCTCTTTGTAATACCACATAATTGTTGTAAAAAAATCAGTTTAATTATGCTTCTGTTCTCGTTAAATGAACAAGTTGAATAATCTTAGTTCGCAAATGATTGATTTTGAGGACATTTATGAATTCCGTGCAAATGTATAAGTATGAGCTCTTCTAAAAATACATTAATATTTCATTTTTCTCAAATATGTAAAAAGTCCATGTGTAATTTTTCTCATTAAATGCATAGGATAAATAACCCTAATCTACAAATGATTAATTTTATATATATTTTTGAATTTTAAGCAAATGCATAGCGAAGGACTCTTCAAAAAATACATTAATCTTTTTCTTTGTAATACCGTACCATTGAAAGTCGGTCTTGATTTTGTCAGCCCATTAAATGCACGAAAAATAGATAATCCTAATTCGCAAAAATGATTGATGATTTTAATTTGCATAAATATTTTTAAATTTGTTATAAATACACCATTAAGAGCTCTCCTAGAAATTAATACATGAAAAAACTGAACAACTGCTATTTGATATTCTCTTTATCCTAAATTATAAAATACTTTTAGATAAAATCACACATATCAATAAATCTCATTAAATACACTTAATAATCTTACTTTTTTTAAATAAAAATATAAAATTTTTAAAATATCTATGATTTAATACATTGAAAAGAGAAGAGATAGAAATTAATTATAAAAAAAATACTATTAAAATTAATACATTTAATAAAATCTTAATCTATTTAAAATATTTTATGTTTTAAAAAAATTTTAAAAAATACTTTTATAATTTAAAACGTGAGTGTAACTTTTTTAATAAATTTGCATTTAATGCAATGAAGCCACTAGGTTTTGGTCATTGCCGAGTGTGACCAATTATCAGTGGGTAAAACCACTGGTCATGCATTGACTTCACTACTTTTTCATTTAATAATTCAGATTTGGTAAAATCTCTAAATAAAAGCGAACCATCTTATTATTATATAAAGCCTCTCTCAATCCCTTAATTCCTCCTCCTCCTCCTCCTCTTAAATCTGTGTTTTTTCAGTCTCAGAAAGATAAATCATGGACTGTGAAAGAACACAAATATTAACTAATTTTCCTGGAAATAAAATTATTAGTAACAGAAATGATGCTCCGTTTGAAGTTAATGTTCTGGTAGTTGATGGCAATGCTGCTTCGCTTGAGATTACCTTGGGATTACTCGCTTCTCTGAATTATAGAGGTAATTAAAAATATCATATATCTGTTTATTTTGTTCTTTGTTTTCCTCATGGTCAAAATTTTGCTAATTAAATTATAAAATATAGCAGAATTCATATGTATGATGGAAGGGAAAATGAATTGGGATGTATACAGAAATTTTTTGTCCGAATTAAATTTAACGAAATTTATACAAGAGGCCTATTTTTTTAAGTAAGCTTTTAAATAATCAAGCGCCCAAGCTGCCAAGAAAATGATTCCGTACTACAACCCTGACTCATATATTATTATTATTATTATTATTATGAATGTTGATCAATTTTAGGAAAAATGACTATTTAATATACTCTCTTATTTTTAATTGATACTATATTTTTTAAATTTTTATAGTTTGTGATTTGCTATTATTACTCTAGAATTTGCGAATAGAAATTATTTTGGAATTAAATTGATTTTTAAGGGTCAATTGTCATTGATCCTTTATTTTTATTTTTATTTTTATTTTTTTGATCGATACATTATTGATCCTTTATAGGTTGTTTTCCTATGGATATATTTGTCTTACAAATTAACTTTTATGACTATAATGAAGATTTTTAAGGATTTAGATCTCTTAATTTTAATTAAAATTTTAAATTGACTTTTACTTAATACATTTATAATTCTATAAAAATCATTTTTACTTAATATCCACAAGGCCGTGTGTGGCTTTTGGTCATTAAGGCGGCAATCTTTAGACCTCAAAATCTTGTTTATAATTTATTTGATCATTATTTTTTTTTCTATTAACAATTTGTATCAATCTTATTTACAACTTTCTATTAAAAATTTATTGCGACCTCAATGCTTTGTCAACAACAATTTTCACCCCCCCTCTTTCTATATCTATCCTATCAATTTGGTAATGAATTAATGTATTTGTGAATTAATTGAATTTCTCAGCTGAAGGAACAAAACATCCATTGATAGCTTTGGAAAGACTAAGAAGGAAAGAAGAGCATTTCGATATAATTGTGATAGACACTCATTTGCCAGACATTGATGGATTCCAACTTGTACACAAACTTGTTGATCACCATTGCTCAATACCTTTCATAAGTAAGTCCCATTAATTTCTTTCTTCTTTTTCAACTACACATGAGCATGTATGTTTTTTTATTATTGGTTATAGAAATGAGTTGAATATATTAATAATGGCCAAACAAGCCATTACAATTTTATTTTATTCTATATATACATACACATCACATTACTTCATCAGGTATAGGACCTCAAATAAAATGAATGTTAGAAGGTATAGCCAGTAAAACAGATTTTGCTTGGCTAGCTAATGATGCCAAATTAAATTTTTATTTAAGCACAAATAATTGTTTTCAATATGAGTGTATGTTAGAAACAACAGGAGGATAAAAGACTAAATAATTTGAAATTAAATAGAAGTAAATCAAAAGAAGAAAAAAAACGAAAGATAACACAAAATTTAAGTTTAGAAAATCTCAATGTGAGGGACAAAATTAATGGCTGCGCAACGATAAGTGAGAAATTTTAGGAAACAAAATATATTTTACAATTATCGTTTCATCTTTATGAGAATGTAGAGACTAGAATAGATATAAAATTTCTAAAAAAGCTAAACATATTAACTGAACCAATAAATAATATCTCCTGAAATCTCAATTATATATATAAAATAAAGATAATAAATTTTAATTAAACTAATATATTAAATAAGACTAATCATAATAAATTATAAAAATTCGAGTGATAGTCTCAGCAACGTATTATTTAGGTAAACAATATAAAAATTTTTGTTAAAATGAACATCATTCTCCCCATATAATTAGAGTGAATTATATATATATATATATATATATTATTTAGAACTTGTGAATTAGGTGATCACTTTCTATAAATTTTATAAATATATTGAAAAATTGAGAGAATATTTGTAAACTAGTTAGTAGCCTATCTAGAGTTATCAAATAGACTAACCTGATGAACTGTGTTGGGTCAATCATGAATTAGACAATTTTGCCCCTATTAACCCCCTTAAATCCTATTTAGTGCTAATTTTTATTGATTTGATCCCTTAAATTTTCCTCGTCAACTAATCATGCACTCTCATATACACAGTGATTTCGATGGAGAGGGATGAGAGAATGATGGAGAAAGCGTTGAATAGTGGTGTGGTGGTACGTTACATTGTGAAACCAGCAACAGCAAGTGACTTCAAAGGTATATGGCAGTACACAATACCTTCAATAGTAATGAAAATGAAAGGTAAGAAGAAGCCAACATCATCATCATCACCACCATTAATAAGAAGCACAAGAGATCAACAAGATGATAATAACATTGAAGATTCTTCATGGACTACTAGCAAAGGACATCATAATTATTATAAAGACATCATCATGTCATCATCATCACACCACCACCATTGAACAAAATTGTCAAAAGAAAGGAGTTTGTTGTGAGGGCTTCAAAGAATGCTTCTGCTTTTGAAGGCGGCGCCGAGAACAATGGATCATCGTCGTTGTCTGGGGTTATCAAGAAGAGCAAAGTTGTGTGGACAAGCGATCTTCAAAGCCGTTTTTTACAAGCCATAAACATTATTGGGTTAGAAGTAAGTAAGTAATTTTTTCCCTCCTTAATTAGTGTGGGAATGATGTTTTGCACAGGGCTTAAGAAATTAGTCAAAGTGTTGATAACTTATAAATTTTATCACATGTTAATTAGAGTTTTATATTATATATATGGTTAAATCGCAAATTAGCCCCTAAACTATAGGTCTAGAAGCATCTAAAACCTTAAACTCATTATTTTCCCTCAACATTTCAAGACGGTGTAATATTGTCTTTTTATACAATTCACCAATATTAACTTTGACTATTAGTTGTCCAAAAAATTACAGAAAATGACCTCAAAAATCACAAAAAAAATGACCAATCATATGTAACTTTTGGCTTCTTGTCTGTGATAGTTTTTGTAATTTTCTAGTCAATTAATAGTTAAAGTTAGCTTTTGCTAATAATAAGGGTCACATTGTACTATTTTTAAAAGTTAAAGTAGACCTATATTTCTTGGATAAAGTTACTCTTTAATCCTTTTTTATATATAGATATATTACTTTACATACGTTAGTGTCATGATGTTTTTTGAGCTTTTTTGGTGTATGCATATTCAGATGCAGTTCCAAAAAAGATTCTTGAAGTCATGCAAACACCAGGACTGACTAGGGAAAATGTGGCAAGTCACTTGCAGGTTTGTGTCCTTTTTAACATAAAACCAATCCAGATATTGATTAATTATAATGATATAATCGAACATATTTAATAGCCTGTAATTAATTTTAATTAATCACATATTATTATATGTGTGTGCGTATTCTATACTAGCTTTTTGGATGCAGTTGAAGTGAAAGATTGATTATCTTCACGGGGGGAAAAAAGAGCAAAATCCAGACATGTCTTTTATTCTCAACATTAAGTGCATATTTATAAGTATTCAAATTTGAAAGAAGCGCTCATTATAATGAAATAAAAAGCTCATTGAGAAATGAAACAGACATAAATAGTAAATAAATAACAATAAGAAATCCTATTTTTTTATATATTATGTTGAGTTTATATGTGAGTATAGAAATAATCATTCATGCACACCAAATGTAATGCTTGCCCCACTCTAGAATCGGGTCAAGCCTTGTGTTGTGATATCTAAAATTACTCATGTCAAGCTCCTACTTTAATTTTAGTAAAAAGAAATATAATTTTCGTGAATTGATAATCATGTTTTATTAATATTTAATTATCTTCTATTAGATATGAATAATTAATAAAATCTTGATCTAATGAATATTTGCAGAAATATCGGCTTTTTCTAAAGAGAGTGGCTCGGATGTTTGCGATGCTAATGAACCATGAGACAAACAAGAAGGATGTATTCACAAGTTTGGGATCAAAGTACCCTAATTCACTGATGTTAAAGAACATTAAAGAGGAATTCAGAAGAATGTTAAAATTCAGAAAACTTAGATCAACTTTTTCTTCTTCATATCCTTATTCCTCATCAGCCAACAAGAACCCTAATTCTTCTCCCTTATTCAAACCAACATCCATGTTTCAGTATCATCATCATTCTAGCTTCCCAAAGTCTCATCATCGTCATTCTACTTTTTCATATTCCACCCCAAAAATGAACGCTTATGAAATGTTACAGGATCAAATAATGCCTGCAAGTACTTCAAGTAATATTCACACCAACAATTTCACTGGCACTGGATCAGGGTTTGCATCAGCTTTTGATAAACAAAGGGATCAGATGATTCAGCCTATTGGATCAAATATTGGTGTTTCAAACACTTATTATGATTCTTGTGGGTATAATATTGATAATGATAATTCCTTCATCAATGGTTCATCAAATTTCGGTTATTTGGTTGATGGAAGGTTAAGTCCCTCTAGCTGTGAGCTTTTTAGGTCAAATCAAAGTATGGCAGATAAAGCGGGAAGCAATAATGACAATATTCTGGAAAATATTTTGGAGCAAGAAAATCTGTACGAGGTTTTGAATAATGAAGGAGATCACAGTTATCAAACTATTGAAGTTGAAGGGAATTACAATAATGACGCCTCACTTGTGCCACTAGCTCAGTATTCAAACTGCAGTACTGGATTTGATTACTGTGGTGATATCATCATGGAAGAATTAAATGATAATGGGCAGTTCTCTAATCAGTATGTCTAATTATTTTCTAATGTGTTTACTATGATATTTTTTAATTAATGAATTAAAATTTTTATCTAAACAGATTACAAGATTTTTAATAATTAATTTGATGAATTAAAGTGTAAGCCTTTTCAGTTTATCCCATAAAGTAGTGTTTTCCCTAACCAATTTTTTGCCCAATTTTTCCTTAATTTAGTCTTTTAGTAAATCTAAAATGTAAAAAACCTTAGAAATTAAGAAGTACTGTTATGTTTGGTAAATGAAATTTAGTTAGCTCAAATCCTAATTAAATGGAAAATACCCGAATTTTAAAAATAGATAAAAATAATTTCTTGTGCATATTATACAGCATTATATAACTGTTAAGCGAGATAATCAATATTCTTCACCAGCATTTCAATTAATTTCCATTTCTATTTCTAATATAAATACCTGCAGCAGCAAGAAAATCAAGAAGTGGCTGGCAAAGATATTGACCCAAGAGTTGAATCTACCAATGACTATTTTCCATCATTTGACCAAATCTCTGATCAGGCAAGTTTTATAATTAGTTTTCGATTCTTCTCATGTTTTTATTCCTTCATTTGAAATTCCATGTTACTCATTTTTCAATCTGTGCCTGCATAATTTTTATAGCTGTGAAAAATTAATAAAAATCTTGAAAAACTAATTAGGTCATGTTTGATGGTTAATTAGGGATGTTCTGTTCATTGAATTTAGTTTTCAAAAACCTAACATGTTCTAAGTGAATGCATTTGAATTTACAACTTTCTACATATTTATATGTCGAAATCATTCACTATTAGTGTTGAGTTTTTAATGCCTCTTACATGTTGTGAACTAACATATATTTAATTTCCTGTTTCATTTTTAAGTGTATGTACTTGCAATAAAACTTGGTAAAATGTTTTTACTTTGATTTCTAATTAATCAATTGTTAATCCAGTCTATATTGACGTGTTTATATATAGTATTTAATTATAACTAATATATGTTCAATTGTATATACATATACAGTTAATGGAAAGCCTGAATTTCTCTGAGAAAGACTTGGAAAATCTCAACCTCGAACAAATTCCCCAGGCATGCACACACACACACACACACACACACATATATGAATTAGTTAATTCGCTTCAAAGTTTATTCAATTACTGCTTAACTTGTTTTTTTTTCTTATTAATTTATATACCTCCATTAATTTTTCTCAGGATTGGGACGATGACTTCCTGGAATCTTTATTCAACAATGGACTGTAACTAAAGTTCAATGAATTTAAGGCCTGTCTCTGTGTGTGTGTGTGTGTGTGTGTGTGTGTGTAACATTTCAGAATGAACTTGAGCTAGCACCGATGTTGTCCTCTTTTGAATTCCCATAATTAGAGATTTTTTTTGCATAGTGTAATGTGTATATTTTATATTTTATAAGACATGATAGTATAAGTTTAAGTAAGATGGATTTTAAAGCCTTATTATGATCAATATAGGTTATAGTTCAAAAGATTGCATACTAATGTATTTACAGATTATTCATTAATAATTTTTCATATTTTCAAATTGGTTGCATATCCTTATTAATCGAATCATTGGTTATATATATATTGGA